GCGTGGCTCCCGCACCCGTATGTCGACCCGAGCTGCATCGCAGCCATCTCCGACTCTCGCAACACATCCCAGCTCCCCTCCCCGCCGCCCTCTGCGACCTTCCGCGCAATGAGCGGCGTACCTGCGCGCGACATGCCCGCGCTCATGCTGCCCGCCCCGGCTCATCCGCTGGAGACCGCGTCGGTGGAGAAGGCGTTCGAACGCCGCACGAGCACGCATTCCCGCTCACCGACGCGGACACCTGAGGATGAGACGGCGGCATCACTCCTGCTGCAGATGAGCAGCTCACCGGCATCGATGCGCTCGAGCTCGGCGGCGTCCAGTGCGGGCGTGCCCCCGTTTGCGCCCCCGGCGAGGAGAATGTCGCACACACTCGTGGGGGAGGATGGGAGGAAGGGGAAGAGAGAGTCACGGATCCAGGCTGAAACACCGAGCTCCCTGCTGGGTCTTGGGCGGTGAGCACATACATCTAGCGCATATATCCAGTGTGAGAAGAGGACGGATATGAGTTTGCGCGCAGAGGCCGTGTATGAATAGCGTAACTTATCATTCTCTATGGGTCCCTCCCCCCTGGTTCTCCCCTTCATTCGAATTATCGTCTGCATACGGGAGAAGGTCTCTCCTGAGTCCTAAGAGACCCGCTACGGGACTTTGATGTCTATTACCGCGCTGTCTTCAATTCCCTGCGGTGCTGGCAACTTGACATGAGCGGTCTGAAATCTACAATTAGTCAACTCCTTCGTACCTGGGACTGGAAGGCAGGCCTGTGTGCGATCCTGATAGACAGCGTATTATCCCGTCTTCGGAGATGTCGCCAGAGGCAACAGTGGTGAAGCACAAGCGAGGCAAGCATGCGGGGGCGGGCCAAATGAGGAAAGACCGAGTGGCACGGGGAGGACATGAGGCTACTGAACGCCGGGCGCTCTACCGTTGCTGAGTGCCAGCTCATACTATCGACGATGACCGCGAATCCAACACAGTGAGATGGCAAATACTCAGATCAGCGGGGCATATCACAGGTGTGGCCAAAGTAAGCAAGATCTCTTTCACACTCGACTAACCCCTTCCAAGGACGGCACAAGGTTTGAGACTGCCACTAGGCCGGGGATCGCACTCGCCCATCCTCCTGCCAACCTCCTCCAGCATCCGAGTCCGAGTCAGCCGCAGAGAGTGGCGGAGCGAACCATTGCGACAGTCACGGGCGAAGGCGACGGCTCCGAGGGCAATAACCCACACCCAACGACCCGGCTCATGAAGAGGCCTCGCCCCCTCTATGCTACTAACTCAGATGAGAATATTGGAGCCGAGCTGGCTGCAATCTGTGGTGCGCAGCCTGAGAAATCCTCACCCTCCTTTCGCATTGCACGGCCCCAGCTTCGTCATGGGTGCGCCCCCGCCGCGAACCTATGGATCCCCCTCGCCTGGCGTCCCTCCGGCGGCAATACAAGCCCTGCCAGTGCAGCCAAGTCTTAGACAGGGCGTAGGGCACCTCTGTCTTCAGCCGGCATACTCCTTCCACGCACAGACAACAGCTCCACCCTTCCAGAGCCCTGCCCCACTGCCAGTGGGCAGGCACCCTAGTCATGCTTTCAAAATCTTGGAGGCACAACTCTCAATCGACACCGTGGTCCCTGCATACGAGCAAGCTGATATGCTGCTGCCGATCCCGGATGCCTCGGACCTTGTGGACAACGACGAGCTCATCTCAGACATGAAGGCACGCTTAAGACGGGGCTCAGCGATCTCGCACCGGCGGTCGCGCCATACCATGACGATGACTCGGAGCAGTTCCCAGAAGCCTTCTGGGAGTACGTATTCTCGTATGTCTCTGAACGGTCATCGCCCACAGACAAGGCACACTGCGGATTGACGCTGCGAGTGAGCATTAGTCGTATTTACTTGTGGCAGCAGATAGCGCACCGTTGGGCCAAGACCAAGACTCCAACATACGGTAGTCGCACGTTAACATCAGTCAGACACACATAAGGGATCGCAACAGCAACTGACGAACAAGAGGCCCGCGTTCCAGATGGGGCATGGAAATGAATCCCATCTACACGATGCGCCCTGGATTTGACAAGTGATTCACGGCTCGCGAACTTGGATGGTTATAATACCTGGACAGCCAGATTTCGGAAGGAAGAGAGAGGTGGACGAGAAAGAGGAGAAAACTCACACCTTTCTACTGCCCATCCGGTATCATATCGGAGCCATCACTGCCCCTCGACATGACAGCAACTTGCTGCCCGCGCTGGGATCCTCAGCCTCAATGGCCTGTGGAGGAGGACTAATGCAACGGCTCAATTGACACTCACTAGTCAATGAACCAGACAGCATATCAGGACTGAAAGATACCGTGACCTCGGATCCCTCCCTCGTTGTGAGGGTCTGCCAGTAGGGGAGGCACTGCAGATGAAATTACTGGTGGAAGAGGCAACGAAAACCAACTAATACTTAAAAACACTTGTATGATATAGTGTTGCGTGTAGTAGTGGTTACATAATCATTCAGCGCTGTCTATGCAGGCGCCGTGATCCTACCTACCTCCTCCCTCCAAGACCAGCACATTGTCCATCCTTCGCCCTTCCAACGCCGTTCGGGCTTGCTACGCTCCTTCGTGCGACGGCGCTGTCTGAAACACACGACTGCAACGACGCTCCAGCACTACGCACACGCACAGCATGTACAATGGCCTCTCAGGACACAGAGCAGGCATTTTCTTTCTGGTCGCTGTCATCCTCGTGTTTGCGGAAGGCGGACTCTGGGTCGCAAGGAAGAGGGGAAACGCGAACTTCCCGGAAGACTCCCTCATCCCGAGACCATCTAATGTCTTCCGGAAGATACGCGCACGACCGGAGGTACAAGAGCACCCCATACCGAAGCTTATGACGGAGGCGGAGACCAAGTATCGGGGCCTGTTGTTAAAGCAAAGCAAAACGCTCCCGGAGGCTGTGGCAGAGTACAAGCGCAGATACGGGAGGGACCCGCCGAAAGGGTTCGACGACTGGTGGCGGTTCGCGCAGGAGAACCATGTTCTTATGATCGACGAGTACAACAACATCAACGAGGACTTGGCTCCATTTTGGACACTGTCTGGAGAGCAGACGAGGGAGCGGGCAATCGCGGTGCATATGCGCCTCTCTCCATGCTTTTCCAAGGTCTGACCATACTTCCGTAGGCCGGAAACCTGCCTTCCATCGACTTGGTGAGAGTGCGCAATGGGAAAGCTACAGCTGTCAACATACGGGATGGCCCTTCCTCAACAGCGGTCAGTGACCGGGCACGAGGCTTCTTACAGATCATTGAGAAGTTCCAAGACAAAGTGAGCCGTGACATCATGTTTATGTGTTCACGTATAGATCTCAGTCTCAGCTACCAGACCTTGACTTTCCTATCAATGCTATGGCAGAAGGGCGCATCCTCGTTCCGTGGGAGCAGCGAGTATATCCCAACTTCACAGCCGGCACAGACGTCGTGCAGGCAGAGCTAAGCGGCATGTACTCGCCCGACTGGCGGGGCGAAGGCAATGTCTGGGAAGCGTATCGCCGCACCTGCGACCCCGGCACGCCTGCGCGGCGGCTCTTCAGCTCCTTCCGGCCGTTTTCGATCAACCGCCCGAGCCAGCACAGCGCGGGCACGCACGAATTTGCGTTCACGCCCGACGTGAGCCAGAACTACTCGTTCTGCGAGAATCCTTGGGCGCACTACAGCCAGGGCCACTTCTTCTCCGACTGGCGTACCATCCCCGTGCTCTTCCCCATCTTTTCGCCTGCCCAGGCCCCAGGGTACTCGGACATCCGCATACCGAGTCATTACTACTACGGCCAGACGAGACGGTACACGTATGGGTATGACCCGGTCAATTTGATGCTCAAGGACGTGGATGGAATGGAGACGCCCTGGGAGAAGAAGAGCGACAAGATCTTCTGGCGCGGTGCGTCGACCGGTGGGGGTAGCTCGCCGCCTGGGTTCTCTGCCCAGTACCAACGTCACAGGTCTGCCCTCACCCATAGTCCAGTCGACTCACTAACGCATTCCGCTATACAGGCTCGTGCGGATGGCCAGCGACACGTCGGGGACGAACCGGACGCTGGTCTTCGCGGACCCACCGGGCTCGACGCACTATGTATACGCGGAGGTTCCGACAGCGCAGCTGAACGCAGACATCATGGACGTCGCGTTCGTGAAGGTTGTCGACTGGTACAACTTCCCCGGTGGGCTCGACGCGCTCATTACTGCGCACCGCTTCGACGACGGCGGCGTGAACCTCGGTGACCACTGGCGTCACAAGTACCTCGTCGATGTCGACGGGCAGGGCTACTCCGGCCGCTTCTTTGCGTTTATGGAGTCGGACAGCGCGGTCATCAAGTCGACCGTCTACCGCGAGTTCTTCTCGGATTGGATCCAGCCGTGGTGCGTAGCGCATGCGGGCCGTTAGCTTAGGGTATATATGTGCTGATCTGTGTGCGGGTGTGTGTAGGCTACACTTCATACCCCTTTCGCAGTCGTATCAGGAGGTTTACAACATCCACGCATTTTTCTCGGGCGCGCCACCCGCCGCGCTGCAGGCCGTCAACTCGACTGCCCTCGAGGCATCTAGGCATCCCGTCGACGGCGACCGCCGGCTGCGGCGCATCGCCCGTGCAGGGAAGCAGTGGAAGCGTACCGTCGGGCGGCGGGTTGACATGGAAGGTGTGTCTCTCACCCATCGGCCGCAGTCTGTGCACATTTGACGTGTATCATTAGCGTATGTGTATAGATTGTGTCTAGAATATGCAAGACTTCTGGCGTATAATCGGGAAACAATGGACTTTGTGCTATAGGGTAGATCGTAATCATCATGCGTCGATATATTGGTCATTGGGGTGGTGCATCAGATTCAATTGCTATGAAAGTGAGGCAAGGTTCCGATGATTGCGTTGTGAGAGAGAGCCTGGGAGACAAGGCTTGGGTCTATAGTGCTGGTTTTGAAAATCAAAAACATGCTATCGACCAAATAATGGACATTCAGGGGATTGAACCCTGGACCTCACGCAGGCACCAATAATGCGAAGCGTGCGCGCTACCACTGTGCCAAATGCCCCTTGAAATGCTGTGCCGTCCAGCCCAAAAATACTGGCCATACATCCACTACAGCGTAATGACCACTCGTGCCTAAGAATAATCGATAACATACCACCGTGTATGGTCTGCAACAGAGACTAAATCGATAGTGGCCTTTAACATTGTGGCGATATTATATGGCCTTATGAGCGATCATATAGTCCAACGGGCAACATCATCTTACCAGCTTTGGAATTGCTATGTCCTCCTCCTACTCTTGCTCGCCAGGATTCAAACTCATGCACCCTTGAAAACAAGATCAAATGGCTCGCTGGCATTGTTTATTAGGTACTCACTCTTCTGAGACTGTTTACGCTTATAGGCCTCAGCCGGTCACGGTGATCATACGAATTCCTGATGTCCACCGGGAATTTGCACCGCCATCCTGCGTACGTCGTTCCGTTTCACACAATCGCTATGGTCACCAGGTCAGTGGCTCGTCCCGAGATTTGTCCACAGCGTGTTCTTTGCGCTCTGCACAAAGATGCTTGCACAGACCGGACCGCGACCGGCACCATTGAACTCTCCCCGTGTGACCCTCTCTCTAACCTGGCATAAGAATGCACGTTCCCCACCCCTGCGACTAGCTTACCACCTGCTTCCTCTGCCATGGTTTCTATACTCTTGCCGGTCCTCGCCAGTCTATGGTTGGCTAGATTCGCCTCTGCGTTTCAGTATTATGCGGATAACAGGACGTGCACGCTCGAACCCTTGGGCAGTGGGCAGGACGATACGACCCAAGTACGTCGCGTGTGTGCTCGGGACGAATGAGACCGCTGACAGTCTCTCAGATCGAAGCTGCTATCACGCTGTGTGGCCACTACGGTACGACGGTATTTGGGCCTGGAGAATACAATATTACAAGGTAAGTACGCCGTCCAAATGCAGGGAATAAACCACCTACCTGGCGTAGGAAGATGACTTGGGACCTAGTGGAGTCCAGAGTTGATCTCCACGGCTATCTGAACGTGAGTCCACTGAGACACACCATCAAGGCTACTGGAGCGCCTCGCAGTTCGTCGCAGACCTGCCCTACTGGATGCACCCCGAGAATACATACCGCGTCATCTTCATCCAGGTGCGCTGCGCAACGACAGTGCTAGTGGACCCCACCGCTGACCCGTGCTGCAGAGCCAAGCATCCTGGTTCGTGATCACGGGCAACGACTTCGTCGTCGACGCGCACAACACGGGTGGCATCATCGGGAACGGGCAGTACTGGTGGTCCTGGTACGGGAACGGCACACGCATCGACGGCGACGGGCGGCCAGTCGCGCTGACGGTGTGGCGCGCGCTCCGGGGTACCATTGCGAACTTCCGCATCGAGAGCCAGCCGTTCTGGTGTAATGCGGTCGTGGAGAGCCAGAGTGTCGTGTACGATGGTATGTACTGCAACGCGACGAACGCGGACCCGCTGTACTACAACCAGAAGTAAGTGTTTCGGTTAAGCAGGGATAGCGGCGGTGCTCACCTGCGCGCAGCATTGTGTGGAATACCGATGGTAACTATGTCGAGGCCAGGGGGCGACTGTCTGCTGAGCAGTCTTTGCAGGCATCGACACATTCCGCTCAGATAACATCACCCTCATCAACTGGGATGTTAGTGCATCATATTCACACTATCGACGGAGGACAGAGCTGATGAGGACGCATGGGGTTAGATCACACTCGGAGACGACTGTATTGCAATTAAGGGCGTACGTGAATAGCCTGTCTTCGCACGATCAACGCCTAACCTCTATTTCTGGGACACAGAATTCGACGAATGTATACGCCAAAAATATCACCTGCACCGGTGGGACTGGTATCGCGTTCGGTTCCTTGGGGCAGTACTACAACCTGGTCAGTTTGCATCAAGGGCGTCGGGGCCGAGGTCCCGCTGACATGACATTCATAGTATGATAATGTAGAGAACATCACGCTGGAGGACATCACGGTGGGAATGCTGCGCCCTCGGTCTGCTAGAGCTGATCGGACAATCTGTTGGTGTAGATGATGAGGCCGGACCCGACAATACAGCCTTACATGGAACACGGGGTGCGTGGACCGCTCAGTTGCGGAGATGGTGACCTGAACATGATATAGATTTACTTCAAGTCCTGGACGGGGACCACCATCGGCTTCCCTCCAGTCGAAGGCGGTGGCGGGCCAGGTGAGCGACCGGTTGCCAGATTGCATGTAGAACACCTGCTGAAATAGTATCCTGAAATAGGCACAACCACAGGCGTGATCGCACGCAACTTCATGCTCGACAATGTCACGTACCCCATCCAGCTATACCAAACGAACTCCGGACATGCGTACGTGGACGTACCAGACAGCGGTGCGCCTCTGAATAAACTGATGTGCGTGCCGCACGCAGGGGCGATGCTCCGTCGAAGTATCAGTTCGGCGGCCTTGCGTTTGACAATTTCACTGGTACAGCATCAACAGGCCTGAGTAAGGATTCCCATTGTGTACAGCCCGACATGCCACTGAGAGCTTCGTGAACAGTTGTTGACATCGAATGCAGCCCGGCGGCACCGTGCAGGGATCTGTCGTTTCAAAACATCAATGTGAAACCACAGGGTGGCACGACAGCGACGTACAACTGTTACAACGTGGTAAGCCAGACGGGCCTGAATGGTGAGGCTCACCAACAAGAAGGTCGATGGGAGCCGTTGCTGATTCCGTGCGCTGCGCAGCCTGCATGACCACCACGATGGTTGGTTGAGGTCATTACGGACATGCGGGGGTTGAAAATGGAGGCATTTTGTATAGCGACGGAGGCATCTTTGATAACAAAGCTGCGCAATGTGGGATGCGTTGGAAATCAAAGATGGCTTATCCCGCTGTCTGCTTGCTACAGCCACAGCTGTCGAGTGTCGTTTCCGAATATGGGTAGAGCGCTGATCGAGTTGAAGGTGCTGCAGACCGTGTTGAACGGTGAGCAGGCGAGCGTAGGCAGCGACGAGAGCGGTCTGGAGCAGAGAGAACCGTGGTAAGTCGTAGGGATGGCAATGATCGTTGCGCAGCCGAGAAGAGAGTGGCCGGAAAAGGCATGTTCTGTCATGGCAACGTCGTCAAGAGGGAATCAAAAGGCATCTCCCGCGCCTACGCTCCCACAGCCCAGTGCCCACCTTTATCTCCTCCTTCCTCCTCCTTTCTCCTTCGTCTTCGGATCTCCTACAGTCCTTCGCTTCAGGCCGGTCCTCCACTCCTTTTAGTCCGCTGTGCAGGACGTCGACATAGACAGTGCCCCTTCACCCCGCTCATGGCCAACAACTGGAAACGCGCCTCTAGCCTCGATTTCTCCGACGGCAAGATGCCCCCCCTCTCCCAGCACCCCGACATGGCAAACCCGTTCGCTGACAACGGGCTCGAGCCCAGCCACTTACAGCGCAACAAGTCCGAGCGCCGACGTCTCCAGCCTCTCCAGCGCACGAACACCACCAGCACCGTGCCCGCGACCCCGTACAGGCCTACGGGATGGATGGAGCGCTTCGATGTCTGGATGATCAACGAAGGTGGCAAGAGGTTGTTCTTCGTCTTCTTCATCCTCCTTCATGTCCTGGTCATCCTCTTCGGTGCCTTCTACTACGGCACGAGTGACGACTTGGTGGGTGATCGCAAGACCTTCGGTGTGACCTATCGTACGTACCTGATGTCCGCCCATTCGTCTCATCCTTGATGTCCTGGTAACAGCGATCGCCCGTGGTGCCGCCCTCGTCCTGCACGTCGAGGTTGCGTTCATCCTCTTGCCCATCTGCCGCAACTTCATCTCGCTCCTCCGGCGAACGCCGCTCAACCACTACATTCCTTTCGACAAGAATATCACGTTCCACAAGGCCGTCGGCTGGGGTATCTGCTTCTTCTCCTTCGTCCACATCGCCGCGCACATGGTCAACTTCACTGAGCTTGCCTTTGTCGACCCGCTCGCGACGACGCCCGGCGAGCGCTTTGTCGTCTTCCTCATCGCAAACTTCACTACTGGTCCTGGTGTCACTGGCTGGATCATGACCGCCGCGCTCGTTGTCATGGCCTGGTACGCTAGGGAGAAGCCTCGTCGCGCCAATTTCGAGCGCTTCTGGTACTCACACCACTTGTTCCTCGTCTTCTTCCTCAACTGGCAGCTGCACGGTATGTTCTGTATGATCCAGCCCGACCGCGCCCCCTTTTGCTCATGGAACACGATTGGCGTATTCTGGGTATGTTTGACCTACACCCCATCTGGTGTCCTTGTTGACGCTCCTCGTAGCGGTACTGGCTTGTCGGCGGATGCATCTTCACCTTTGAGCGCATTCTCCGTGAGGTCCGCTCGCGTCACCGCACCTACATCTCCAAGGTCATCCAGCACCCGTCGAACGTCATCGAGCTCCAGATCAAGAAGGAGAAGACCGTCACCCGCGCTGGCCAGTACATTTTCCTCAACTGCCCCGAGATCTCGTACTTCCAGTGGCACCCGTTCACACTTACCAGGTATGTGGGATGCCCGTTACCTACTGATGTTCGCAGAAGCTCAATGTCCATAGCGCGCCGGAGGAGGACTACATCTCCGTGCATATTCGTGTCGCCGGTGACTTCACGCGCCAGCTCGGAGAGGCCGTCGGTGCCGACTTCAAGGACAAGGGGGAGAAGGGTGACGCTCTCAGCTCGCCTGTCAACCGTGTGCTTCCGCGCGTTATGGTCGACGGTCCCTTCGGCTCCGCTTCAGAGGACTTCCTCAACTACGAGACGATTCTGTTGGTCGGTGCTGGTATCGGTGTGACGCCGTTTGCTTCGTGAGTCCATGTCCACTGCGAGTTTCGCGCACTGCTCAAGCATAGGGGCGGGCAGCATCTTGAAGTCGATATGGTACCGCATGAACAACCTCAACCAGACGAAGCCGACGCGGCTGTCGAAGGTCTACTTTACCTGGGTCATCCGTGACTTCGGCTCGGCGGAGTGGTTCCACTCGCTGCTGCAGGCCATTGAGGAGCAGGACACCCAGAACCGGATCGAAA